AATCCTCTTAACTTTTTATTCCTCCACTGGATTTAGTTTTCAGTATATGTCCCTATACCTCCTTTTTATAACATGACTTATATTTGTGTGTGTGCTATAATGTCTACTCTTTGCTAGACCATTCTATGAGTATGAGACTCATGTGTGTACCATGTATAGTAATGATAATAGTAATAGCAAAATAAATATATGGTAATATGAGTATCATTGCACTGGTGTTTTGGAAAGCAGGTAGTAATTCTGCCAGGAAAGAGAATGTTTAATGTACATTTTTAGGTATGTATTTTAATTTCAGCCTATGTTTTATTCCCTGTAGGTGGTAGAATTCAGATGTGTAGAACTCATAGAGGACGTTCTTGCTTCTTTCTTGCTTCCTTTGCTTCCAGGGATTTGGGGAGATTATTTAACTATAAAACAAGACATCTTACTCCAGATTTCCATAGCATTAGGTTAAAAATCATGTGTTGTAAAAACTGCTCTTGAAAATTCAGAAAGTGACCTCAGTTTAACCTGGTCACCATTTCTTGCAGCTTTGGTTGAGCACCAGTTCAAGTAGTTATATACTTACGTAAAATATATTTATGTTTAGATGCTACCTTGTACTTGGTAGTGCGTGTCTTCCGTGATAGGCATGTAGAGGCTGTTGAAGGGAAGATGAGTATTCCCTCGTGTTCACTTGGAGTAAATGATGGAGAGAATCATCTATACCTCTAATGTTTCTTTAGCTTCAGGAAGTAACTCTACTTTGTCTAAATTAAAATTTATATCTAATTGAGAAGCTGAGACGGATTATGAGTTCATGGCCACCTAGGCTGCAAATTAATCTTTCCTTCCCCCACTTTTTAGTGTGATCTGACTCAGTCTTTGTTTAATTTTCCCGAATAGTCTAAAAACATCTGTTACTGGAAATTTGCTTAAATTAGGGATCCCTTTGGGTTCTGCACATTCCATTTGGTTAATATGTTTCTTCTGAGTTTGTAACAATCCCTCTTCATCTGTTGAGGAAAAACTTGAGTGTTTCTCCTGTAGAGGATTTTTACAGTCTAGATTTAACTGGTTATGTCCTGTGTTGCTTAGAGTTTTTCTGTTCCTACCCTTTCTTGTAAACTGGCAGGTGTGACAGGTCTAGAGACCTGAGTATCTTCAGATGGTTCCATAGGCAAGGGTATTTCATAGGTGATTCTGTGTGTTTCTTTTCATTCATAACAGGATGTCAGGATTGATTTCACTTTATGAGTTCTTTTACTGTGTTGGAGCCTGTCAGAACTACTAAAATTTATTTTTCTGTGAAAATAAAATTTCTATGCATGTCTGTCTGGATTTGATAGAGTTCTCTAGGGAAATTGAGTGAATTGAATCTGTGTAAATTAGAAAAATATTTATTAGGTTGGATTCCATATAGGGATTGCTGGAAAGGCTTAGAAACATGTAACTGCTCAGTCCACAAAGCTGGATTGTTTAACAGTGTCAGTCCAGTGCAGAAGGCTTAGAAGCTCTTGGAGTCTCCTTATTAGGTAGTTTGGAAGGCTGAAGAAGCTGGAGTTTGATGTCAGCTAATATTAGTGGACACAGTTGCTCAGGGAGAAACGAAGGCAGGCAAGCAACACTGTCTTTTCCTTGGACTGGAATGTACATTATCCTGGAACTCGGTCTGTAGACCAGGCTGGCCTTAGAGATCTGCCTGCTTCTGCCTCCCAAGTGACGGGATTAAAGGCGTGCACTACAACCGCCCAGTTTACGGAATGTTTCTTATTTAGGTATTTATTATCTATACTATTTAGAACAAACTTAGTGGGGTAACATATACTAAATCAAATCTACAGAGTGTGTGCCACTAGTGAATTCACATCCCAGTAACCATCTATCCATCCGAAGTCACTCGTATTACTATTCTCTTCTACACTTGACTTTTTGTGGCCCTGCCCTTACTGCTCATTTAATTAAATTTGGGGAACTTTGTTCTAGCAAGCCTGGTATAGACCACAATATTAAACTGTTGCATGTTGAGATTTGACAAGCACTAGTGTATGCAAAGTCTGCATTTATTTGTCATGTCTGCATACCTCCTTATTCAGGTAGCTACAAAGGTATTAATAGGCTTCATTATTACTTCATCAGTGGTATCAGATTATTTTCCTTGGCTTTAACTTATAAATGAAATTTGCATGCTCCAAAGTTTGCACACTTGAACTCTGGTAACACCTGGGAGGAAATATGTTTATTGTTTGGGCAGGAGAGATTCTGATTCCACTTTCTATGCTAATATTCTCGCTGCCCTCTCAACTCAAAATTCAGCAAATAATACACTTTGATTTTACACCGACTAAAATGATGTTCCTAAGTCACAATTCCCCGAGCCTGACTTTTGCAAGTTTGGTTCCATTTCACTAAAAATTAAGTTGTAGTAGAACAGAAAAGGTCAAGCTGATAAAATAATAATGGGGCTTTATATTGAACTTTGAGTCTTCCTTTTAAAACTGTGAAGAACCTGGAATGAAATGTACAGTTTTAAATCTTTGGAGGTTTCCTTTCTACTTAAACGCTGTAATCAAGCATTTGAATCAGCTTCTGTTGCATATGACAGACAGGAAAAACTGAGCAAAGAGGATGTGAAGGGAAGTAACTGAATAATACGAATTAAAAAACAAACCAACAAGTCATTTAAAATTATGGTGTAGAGTCTGAATGTGAAGGCAAGTTTTAGACGTGTCTGCCTATGCCTGCTTAGTCGTTAGCATTGTTCAGTTAATTGCCCCTAGACTAAGTAGCAAATTTTTGCTTATTACATCCCTAAAATTGAAGCAATTTGTAGCCTTCTGAAAAGCTACTAGCAGTACTAAATAAAGAAGGTGAGTGGGTGGCTTCTTAGAGGATAATGTAATGGATATGAATAGAGTTTGCAAAGGGGCAGGGTTGACTGTTCTCCTTCAGAACTTACCACTCCGGCTCTGCAGTACTCATGCTTCTCCAGTGATATTAGCCTCCTACATCCTTCCTTCATGCTTGTCCCTCACTAATGGTGTGCCTCCCAGTATATTTCATTCCTTTGTCATTGAAAGCAGTCTGTCCTGACCCTGAAATCAGAAGTTAATCCAGTCCATCTTTGGTGGTTTATGATATTATTTTAGTTTTAGACTTGAGATAGCTATGGGAGATGGGTAAAAATTATCACCCTATAATTATGGAGATTAAGTAATTAATGATAAAGTTATAAACATGGTGCTATGTATGTAATGTTCAACAATATTTGTTCCTACTTCCCAGTTCTTATCCAGCTGCAGATTCCTTTTTTCTTTTTTTTTGATTTTTCGAGACAAGATTTCTCAGTGTAGCTTTGCACCTTTCCTGGGACTCACTTGGTAGCCCAGGCTGGCCTCGAACTCACAGAGATCTGCCTGGCGGGGCCCCCCTCCCCCCCCCCCCCCCCCCCCCCCCCCCCCCGGAACTGGGATTAAAGGCGTGCGCCACCACTGCCTGGTACAGATTCCTTTTCAACCAAGAAACTTTGATTTATTAGTTTTTCAAAAAGAGCTTATATAGTTTTGAAAATTCTTTCAGATGTGTCATGCCATAACTTAAAAAAATATTATAGAGATGAACTCAGGGAATCTTAGACATTTCCAAGCTCTGTACTAGCCATTCTTAGTTCCCTATTGAAACTCAGAAGCAGTATTTATTAAAGTATCTCACAGATTATATCATTAGAGATGTAGCCAACATGAACTTTTTCAAATTGTTCGTGATTGCATTTTTAAAGACACACCAGGTGAAGGAAGCACATCAAAGACAGCATGGCTACTGTAATGAGGCAGAATCACAATGCTTGTTTATTTCAGAGCTGTACGCGAGGAGGAGGAGGAGGAGGAGGAGGAGGAGGAGGAGGAGGAGGAGGAGGAGGAGGAGGAGGAGGAGGAGACAGAAGGTCTACTACCAGTGAAAATAGCAGGACTCACACAGATACACAGGTTTAGGATATTTACATGAGACATCAAAATAATTCCATTCTAAGACCACAGGTCGTTTGTTCTGCAATCATTTTTTCTATTTAAAACTCCATAGCATTACTGTATAGGTAAAAGTATATTCAGATTCTAACATTTTCCCCCCTCCCAGTTGGCAGGTACTAAAGCACTTTGTAGTGACAGTGTGTCTGGCTTTTGAGCACCTCTTTAGAAGCTGCTGGAAAACAACATGTATCATGCGTATTTTAGACAGGAAAGCAAGGATGGAGAAGTTAAAGGCTAGCATTGTCTCCTCAGTCTACTTCTTCAGGAGGGGATGCTGTAGTCTTCCCTTGACACTACATGATGGGGTCTTTATTATGTATTATTTAACAATTGGAAAATGACTATTACATGTGCTTCACTATTGTTACCTATTTTCTTACAGCTATTCTAAAAGTGTTTGTGAGTATGGAAGTATGTTTTGTGATAAAGGCCACTATCAAAAATGGGAAAAAGTTGTCTGGCATGGGTATTGGTACTGTTTCTTTTACTGTGTACAGCAAACATAGCTGCTCGATCTTGACACCACTGCAGAATCTAATTTGAATTCATAGTCCTTTTAGTACATTAATGGCTTAAAGTAGCCACCATCAAGCACAGGTCCATAAAACACTTTGTTTTTTTCAGTCTTGATGTACTATGTTTATTAAAAATTTCAGGGCTGGAGAGATGTCTCAGAGGTTAAGAGCATTGGCTGCTCTTCCAGAGGTCCTGAGTTCAATTCCCAGCAACCACATGGTGGCTCACAACCATCTATAATAAGGTCTATGTGCCCTCTTCTGGCATGCAGAAAGAACACTGTATACATAATAAATAAAAATCTTTTTTAAAAAAGCTTAAGATTAAAAAAAATTCAAGATTAGATTTATTTTTACATTTTTCTTATTTTGTATAGAATCATGGATAATTTTCTGCCTATAACTAATAAATACATACTTATATCCATTTATTATACTGATTTAACAATGTTTAATCTTCCTTTTTTTCTCTGCACAGATTCTGTCAACTTTTAAGAACAAATGCACCTTATAGCTCATGGAAGAAAAAACACAAATCAAGACGTTTTTGGGTTCCAAGCTGCCAAAGTATGGAACAAAACCTACGAGAAGCACACTGCAGCCGATGCCAAATGGGGCCGCTGTGGCTTTGTTAGGGACTTCCAAGAGTAGTAATGTCAAGAGTTACATCAAAAATAATGGCTCTGATTGCGCCCTGTCCCATTCGTTTAATTGGAGACAAGCAAATAAATACCAACTTGGTTCACAAAATACAGCAGAACTTAATAATATTCAAAGTACACATGATAAACTAATTGATCCTGAGCACCATGCTCCTGCTCCAGGAACACCTGATGGGAATGGGATAAAGGGAGGTTTGAAAAGTGCTTCCTTGTTCACATCCAAGTTAGCAAGACCATCCACCATGTTTTTGTCATCTACAGAGGAGTTAAATCAAAAATCTTTTTCTGGACCATCTAATTTGGGTAAATTCACCAAAGGCACATTACTAGGAAGGACTTCATATTCTTCGGTCAATGCTAAGTCACATTTGAATACGTTTTATAGGAACCGATCACCTGGTAACATGCAGAAGCCAAGAGTGAACTCCTGTGCCACCAGAAGCAGTTCTGGAGAAAGTTTAGCACAGTCCCCAGACAATACTAAATCTATTACTTGTGAAAAAATGGTAAGGTCACAAAGTTTTTCACATTCCATTCAGAATTCCTTCCTTCCGCCTTCATCTATAACCAGATCACATTCCTTCAACAGAGCTGTAGACCTTACAAAGCCTTATCAGAACCAACAGCTACCCGTTAGAGTGCCTCTCCGGTCAGGTATGCTAACGAGAAATTCTCGGCAGTCAGAAGTACTCAATGGGAATGAACACTTGGGGTTTGGTTTTAATAGGCCTTATGCTGCTGGTGGAAAGAAATTGGCTTTATCCAATGGCCCAGGTGTATCTTCCACTTTGGGCTATAGGATGGTTCATCCCTCTCTACTGAAATCTAGCCGACCTCCATTTTCTGGGACTATGACAGTTGATAGTAATAAAAATTCTCCTGCTGACATGTGTGTAGAGGAAGAAGCTATAGTTTCGGCAAAGGATGGCTCTACTGGTAAGGACCAAGAACTAGTTGAAAATGAAAGTTATCGAACAGACAATGATCAGACCATGAAGCATGATTCTAAAATTAGGTACCTGAGTGATGATGTGGATGATATTTCCTTGTCATCTTTGTCATCTTCTGATAAGAATGATTTAAGTGAAGATTTCAGCGATGATTTTATAGACTTAGAGGACTCCAACCGAACTAGAATAACCCCAGAGGAAATTACTCTCAAAGAAGAAAAGCATGACAATGGACCATCAAAGGATATATTTGATTCTCCTAAGGAAAATGAACATATCTTCAGTAAAGCTGATGAGTGGATAGATATAAGTGTCTCTGGTAAGTATGAATATCCTTAATTTATGTGCTTTTTCCTAGTGATTATAGCAGAGCTAACATCTAGGATTGTCCGCTGATCGATTCCAAGATGCTATTTGACTGAGAAGACTCATTCTAGATAAAAGTGGAGCAGTATATCAGCCTTGTGGCTTGTTTTGATCCTATTTTCATCTTGTCTAGGATAGATTAGTCCAAGCACTCTAAACTTTGCTGTTTTGGGGCTGTCTTCTTCAGGCTTATTCCCTTGTAGTATAGGCTATGCTTCCAGATGATTTTCCCTGCTTTGCCTTGGAGTGGCTTGCCATTAAACACTACCATTCACTGTAGCCATCATTGCCATCTGCTAAGAGTAAAGCTATAGCAAACACCAATCAGCTAACAGGTTGTGTTCAGTTGAATACTTTCTATCCTAGGGAACGCTTTTGGTTAGCAGTCCTTACATTTCAGTGAAGCATTATTTACTGAGGAGAGAAAGAGAGTGTCTATTTAATATTTCTTCTTAGACTTGGCTGTGTTGGTACTTACTGCAAGATGAAGGTTTTTTGTTCGATTATCCTAAGATGAACACTGAAGGGAGTGCACAAAGGCATGCCTAGTCAAGGGACTAGGTCACACAGTGATGCACTAAACTCCTGTTGTTTGCAACTCTTCTAAACGGAAGATGTCTAGAACACATTTTTTTTTCCTGTTAAGGATGCATCTGTGAGGCTAAATAGTTTACAGAGAGGGAGAGGATTTCCTGAACAGTGGTTAAAATTCGGTATCTTGGGAAATATTAAAGGAGTATGAGGATGTAAGAAATGTTGCAGAGTGAGTTTTCTGTTTACCACAAAATGTTTCAGCAGCTTATTTTTAAAACTCCTATTTTGCCTCCTTTTTTGTTAAGTTTATTTAGAATTTAGAAGCAAACTACTGTTGTGGTTTTTGAACCAAATGTTGTTATAATACATTGGATTATTAGAGCTTATATTTTAGAAATGAGAAATGACTGTTTTGTAAATTCATGTTTTTTTCTTTCTTTTAAAATCATTTGAAGACAGGAGTGAATGTACAAAGCATACCTCTGGAAATAACTTGATTTCACCAGATACGGATTACAGAGCTGGGTCTTCATTTGAACTCTCTCCATCCGATAGCTCTGATGGAACGTACATGTGGGATGAAGAGGGCCTGGAACCCATTGGAAGTGTCCATCCTGTTGGCAGCTATGAGTCCTCTGAAATGAACAGCATAGTATGTATGGGTTTGTGCACCCTTTTGGAGTTTTCTTTTGACTCTATTATACAGAGACATATGACACTGATATATATTTTAAACCTAGAAATCAACTTTTTTATTTGAGAAGTAGCAACTCATACCTGTCTGTTAATGGCTTATAAAATGTGTAACTAAAACAACAAGAATATGTGACATTTGACTTTAATGCACACACACACACACACACACACACACACACACACACACACACACACACACGTACGTAATTTTTTATACATCTATGCATTTGTGCTTACTGTATTGGTCAGGCTAACCTGAGAATGTGGCTTTCAAGGAGGTGGAGGGCATGGCCTATAGACATTTTTAGTTGCTATATTGAGAAGTGCCACTGGGTGAAGGGAGGTCAGGGTTGGTGCTTTACACTGGTGTTCCACAGAAAGGGTGGGGAATTGATGGAAAAGTTGGTCTATAACCAAGAATTAGTTGTTAGGCTAATAGCTCTGTTAGGCTGTGTTGATGTACTCCCATTCCACTACTATCTTACTGTGGCTTAATACAATGGAAGGGTTTGGCTCTTGTTTTTACAAAGTTTACTGTAGGTCTGGGTAGCTCTCTAGGCCAGTTGCCTTTAGTGGCCTAAGTTGCTTTGGCCTTGAGCTTGACCTTGTCCTTGAAGCCCCTAATTCCTGTGATAGAAGACAGCATTGACAGTCATACTCTTGCAGTATTTAATTTGGCCTGCAAATGGCATTGGGTGCTTTCACTCACAGTCTGATAATCAGAGCTTGTCTGTGGTCCCACATAAGTACTCAGGGGATAGGAAATGTGATCAATCCCTGTTTCTGGAAACAGGGAACTAGAAGAGCTGCTGGGCACTAATGCTTGGCTCTTTTACAAAACATACAAGTAACGTGGATAATGACATGAATAAAATGTAGCTGGTGTAATTAAAATGGCTCAGTGTAATTATTTAGGTTAAAATAGGAATCCTCATACAATCAAATTGGTTTGTAGATATATAGCATTCTAACTGGCTCTTCAGACAGCATAACTTTATATATTCATATAAGCCTGTGACATGGACAAACCAGATATTTTACAAGAGGCTTTTAAGTTTCACAGACAAAAGGAAGCCTTTGTTTGTGTATGTAATTTACAGAGTATCGTCATATGATTAGGTCAAAGTCACAGTTTAAGACATCACTATGTTCTTTACTAATAGGCCTTTTAAATGTATAATCAAGGTGCTTATCAATATTTTGTCCAGTAGATGGCAGCAGTAGGTCACTTAGGACATTCTTTTTAATAGTTCATTATCATAACTAACAGAAGGCCCTCTCTGCAGAGTTTAGAATGTACATGGATGATGTTGGTGTTAAAATCCATGAGTTGGGTGTCTTGATGAATAACAGATGGGAAGCAACAAGTCTTCATACTACTTTTGAACAAGATGGTGGCTCCTCATTTTTCTCTCTAGTTTCTTTTTGAGTCGGGGTTTCACCATGTAGGCCTGTCTGTCTCAGAACTCTGTGTAGACCAAGCTGACTTCAGATTCACAGAGATCTGCTTGCTTCTGCCTCCCAAGTGCTGGGATTAAAGGTGTACACCACCATGCCCAATTTTGATATCCAAGGGGAAGACTGTCTAAGAAAGGATGGATGTATTGACAAAAGCATGTTAAGATCTTCTTTGATAGTGGACTTACTGTTTTTGATGGAAGTTCATATTTTTTGCTTTGGATATTTTCAGCTTTCTTTGTTTTCATGATACATCACTTAACTGTTTGGTCTTCCTTGAGCTGCTCTGGTTTGGCTGATGCATTTTGTCTTCCCTCTTTTTGCCCAGATATCAGTATACTTTCTCAGTTTTATTTTGTATATTTCCTCCCTTTTGCAGTAAACCTGCTTGATCCTTAGCAAATAATTTATTTAAAAATAATTTTGTCTTTTTCTTTTAACAAGGAGTTTGTACTTGCATTTGCATTTTTGATGTACTTCACTCGGACATCTTACTGTTTTAACTTAAATTGTCTTCCTTTTTCTATTTTTCCATTTTTCTTTTACTTTGCTAAATAATTTCTGTTAATATTTGTAACTTAACTCCAAATGAACTTTAACACACTCTCTCTTTTCTTGGGCTTTACAACAATGTTAATTCCAGTCCAGGTTAATATAAGGGAAACTTCTTCAGATTGTACACTGGTTGTCACTGCTGATGCAGTTTAGATGAAACCACCCACCCTTCCTGTTGTGAATTTAGCCCAGGGTCTTGTGCATACTGTGTAAGCACTCCAGCTCTGGGCTGCATCCCCAATCAGCTCCTGTTTCCTTTAGCTGATGCTGCTTTTAGAGTAAAACTTTTGTTTTTGAAGGAAAAGAGTGCTAAAGACACATGGCGAAAGTTTATCCGTTGTCAAGGATAAACAGAGAACTTTCAGACCAGCACTTCATAAACAGTTACCAGCTAGAATTTTGGCTGTTGGTTTACATGCTTAGTAGTACTTGTGTATAACTACATTCAGTAAAGCACATGAATTTACAAACAGCCCAAGGAATTTTGGTGGAGTTGTCCAGCTTGTTTTGGGGACTATTGCCATCACCTCAGAAAACTCTCTTCTGTTTCTTTCATTGATACTCTTATTCCAGAGAAAAGACTTTTTACCACGAGAAAGAGAGGAAAGGATGCTGGAATGTTTCTTCTGTCACTGTAGATCAGTCGTCCTTGTTCTGAAATATAAAAGGAGCTGGGCGCATATTATTTTGTATTTGGCTTCTTTTAATGAGTTGTAGGATTTTTGTTTTATTGTCTGTTCGTTTGTGTTGTCCCTCCTCCTCCACATGTTTAGAAGTAAACATTCTACCACTGAGCTATCGCAAACCTTGTCCATTCTTCTTGTTGAATCCTATTTCTTTGTGTGAATGTCATATGGCTTGTTGCATCCCCTTGTTGAGTGACTTTTTAGGTTGTTTCAAGTTTGGGGCTATTTAGAGAATTGAGACTATTCTGTTGTATATTTTATGAAAATTCATTTCAGTTGGCAAAATAGAAGAGGGACTCCTTTAATTATAGGTATGCTTATTTTTATAAGGACTACCAGTTTTCCAAAGTAATTGTGTTTACAGCTCCCATTGGCAGCAAATACCCCTTCTGAAATTTCTGCTTTCTTTTCTACACAGTCATGTTGTTTGCCTCTTTTGTTTACTATTCTGGTGGGGATATCATGATACTGCTTTGAGATTATACTTACCACCTGTTAGGATAGACTCTTTTGTGAAATGCCTTTTATTGGTCTATTTACATTAAAAATTATTTGTATGAATCCTTCACATGTTTTTGTTGGTTAATTTTATGTCAACTTGAATCATTTGGGAAGAGGGACTTTCAGTTGAGAAAATGCATCCATAGTATTGGCCTGCAGGCAAGTCTGCAGGGCCTTTCTTGATTAATGATTGATGTGGGGGTGGGGTGAGGGACAGCAGTGATATCTCTGGCTGCTGGTCCTTAGTTGTATGAGAAAGCAGGCTGACCAAGCCACGTGGAGAAAGCCAGTAATTAGCATTGCTCCATGGCTTCTGCTTTGGTTGCTGCCTCCAGGTACCTGCCTCCAGTTCCTGCCCTGACCTCAGTGATGGAGTGCAATCTGAGAGTACTAAGAAGAAACAAATTACTTCCTCCCAAGTAGCTTTTGGTCATGGTATTTTACCAAGCAGTAGAAACCCTAAGACACAGGTTAAATGTAAATCTTATGTACCTAATATATGTTGGTGTATATTTTCTACTCTGGGTTGCCTTCTAAATATTTTTTGGTGATCAGTTAACTAGTTTTAATGTTATTCAATTTACTTTTTTCTTTTGTTGTTACTGATTTTGCCCACTGTGAAATCTTTGCTTACCCTAAAGTCAAAAAGATGGTTTAGCCAGACCAATGACTCATTGCAATGAACACTTAGAAGTGAAGATGTATGGATTAAAGGGAATACTGTGTGACTCACTGGGCCACACTGCACCTTCCTTGCTGAGATTTTTTTTAATTAAATTTGCTTTGGTTTTTGGATTTATGGGGTTTTACTTTCAAATTTTATTTTGTTGGGAAGGTTGCAAGGTCAGAGGGCAGAAGCTAGGGATGGGGAGATGAATGGGATGGAGATGCATGTTGTAAAATCCACAAAGAATCAATAAAAAGTTAAAAAAAGTTGTTTCAGTATTTTCTTCTAAAACCTTTACTTATATTTAAACTTTTACATTTAGATCTACAGTCCACCTGGAAATTTACTTTGCGTAATATGTAGGATAAAAGTCAAGATTAATTTTTATGGTATGGTGTAAAATAGAGGTTCAATATTAATTTTCTTGCAGGGGTAAGGATTGGGAATCCATTTTCCCCCATTCTGCTACTAAAGGGACATCTTGGTCAAAACTCAGTGACTACATATATAAATATTTCTTAGCCGTTTGGAGTTCTGTTAAAGTTTATAACAGTGGTTCTCAACCTTCCCAATGCTGCAACTCTTTAATATAGTTCCTCATATTGTGGTGACCCCCAACCATAAATTACTTTATTACTACTTCATTAACTATAATTTTGCCTCTGTAATGTAAATATATAATGTAAAAGAAAAGATGGAGTTTTGCCAGAGGGGTTGTGACAAGGTTGAGATTGCTAGTTTAGAATAAGTTTCTTTGAAGGACTCAGAGTTTGCATAGGATTGCACTGAATTTATAAATAAATTTGGAGAGAATCTAAGTATTTACATTAGCCTTCCCATTTGTGTCTGTGTAGTGTAGTCTTCCATTTATGTGTTTAAGATTTTTCTCTTTCTTTCTTTTTTTTTTTTGGTCCCTTTTTTGAACTGTTACAGATATGTGATGTAACCTCTATCTTTTCTTTTACACTATATATTTACATTACAGAAGCAAAATTATAGTTAATGAAGTAGTAATAAAGTAATTTTATGGTTGGGGGTCACTACAATATGAGGAACTATATTAAAGAGTTGCAGCTTTAGGAAGGTTGA